ACTATGTTAATAACAAAATATTTATTGTTCATTTGATACAAGTCCTTGAAATATTAAACCTATATCTATGGAGAATCTACGTTGTGGGCTACTGATGAATATCGTGTATTTATCTAACTCGACTTGCCTCGAAATCCGCGTTGAAGCCTTGATTTCTAAGCGATAGATTGCTAGTACGCGCCGACGCCTTCGTACTTCGTGATTTTGTGAAGAAACTCGGATGTTGGTCCTATTTCTAACACGATTTTGTATGTAAACTTACGAGATTTGGTGATCGAATCGATCGGTTTTCTTATTTCTTGAACTTGAACTATGTATTTAATTTGAACATAAGAGTGAGTATCTATATATATTGAAAAAGAGAGGTCAATAAATCAATTGAGGAAAGTTTTAAAAAATTGGTCAACAACACCATTGACTTCCCTTTTTTGGAAACCATTTAAAAAATCCATAAATCCTTTAGTTTGTTATTTTATTTTTATTTTAAATTATTCAAAAAAATTGTTTGCTTCCATCCGGTAATCTGTTAGTTCCTATTTGTTCCGATTTTTTTAAGTATGGAATAAACAACCTTTCATGTTTCATGCAATGATATCTATTAAAGAATTTTTCATTATCATAATCCGATCGCATTCAAGTTTGAAATTTAAATTTGCACTTATCTAAACATACCAATTATAAGTCCAATTGCATTTAACTTCAAAATTTAAATTTGCACTTATCCAAACATACCAATTATTTTTCAAAACTAGTTCACACACTTTAATTATGGTCGATATTGTTATTTTCATATAACTATTGTACAATTTAAATATTATAATAAATATTTTTTTTCAAATCTTGATGTGTAATCCAATATCGTCGCCAACCTGCATGGTAATGTAAAATATTACACTTACACACAATATAAAAATTGAAAATATAATAAATTTACACGATAAATCAAGATGCCATATATTGTATATATATAAACATTNTTTTTTTTTTTTTTTACGAAACGATAGAAATATTATAAAACTCAAAGCGGACAACGTTCGAATAGTACAATCCCAGGACGAAAAGAAAACTGAGAGGACACGCATATAGCGGCCTAGAACCACAACTCTAACATAAAAGAACTAAATACCATCCACTGCCTGAAGGCCTAGAGGTACAAGGAAAAAAAACAACTAGCAACATATCCTAACCAACTGCAGACCAAGCAAGGAAAGGAAAGATAAGAAACACACAAACAAATAATCTTTAAGAAACATACAATTTCAAGATGTCAAAGATCACTTTAAATAAATTGAAAAAATAATAAATTTACACGATAAATCAAGATGCCATATATTGTGTATATATAAATATTGCATGCAAAATCAATACATAATACAATTATATTCTTTAAAAATCTACGTGTACAAAAAGAATACAATCTATCTTAAGTATAATATCCCTTAATTTCACTTGATATGGGTTTATATCTATATATCTATTTTATATGCTTAATTTTTATAAATTTCTTATTATTGGCCGAATATAATGTTTACTAAATTACCACGGTGATATCTATTTAAAGCCCTCGCTATCAACCCAATACCTATATTCCCTATTATTTAGATACTTATTCAAATGGGAAACTAAATAACCTCTATCTTTAGTTTCTTATATTCTAGATTAAAAGATACCGAGGGCCATATATAAACATATGAAACCGTCTATATATTTACTATGAAAATGCTTATCACGAAAAGGTTTTTTGAAGTATGCAAGCAACCTGAGTATTATCATCCTACTCCTCATATGAACTTATATCTATACTTAAAAATATGTTTTATGTTTGGGTAACTGCTAATAATTTTTTTTTTCAGCGAGAATGAAAATACTAGACATAAGGATTACTGAAGTGCCGCCACAATATCATACAAGTTTCAATGGTTTCAGATGAATTCAGACCATCAAATGCAACAAAAAATGGAGGCAATAAAGTGGCAGGAAATATCATGACGAAAACAGATTCAAAGGTAATATTATTATATGCAACCTACATTTTTTTTTTTACAATTTTTATTTATTTTTTATTTATATCAATAGTTAAAGCAAAAAAATACAGTGAATAAATTAATTTCCTTATATTAAATTTATTTAAATTCAGTAACATAAAATAGTTTAATTTGTTATGCAATATTTTGAAAAATAAATCATGCTACAGATGGTCAAAACTGAATTTCATCTATTCATGTTGTTTGATTAATGTAGACTATTGTACAACATGTATAACATTTCTTAACATTTTGTATAGAAGTTTCTTCAATGAGTTCAGATGCAACCAAAATAAAGAGTTCAGGAGATAATGGATTCAACAAACGGAGCAAAACAAACAATGCTATCAACAAATCTCCATTTGGTAATTTAATTTGAACATACTTAAACAAGGTTTCATAATATAATGCAAGCATACCTGTAAGTTCTTCTTCATGTATGTGTATTTGCTTTCTCCATGTTAGTTCTTCTTATGTTCGTGATTTTCCAATATATGCATTTCATACAACCCAAAAAAAAAATGTTAATCCTTTAAACAATAGTATAAATAAAATATAAAACATTATGTGTTATACAAGTTAGACTTTTGGTGATATTAAATCATAGTTTTTTTTCACCGATATCATAAGTTTTATGATATGTAAATATCTATAAAAAAAAATCAAGCTCAATGTTCAATGTATACCTGAATTTCATAGCTCTTTTGTATTGCCTTCCAATAATACTCCAATAACAGGTTTTATGCTTGGATATTTTGTATTCGTCCATATTTACAAAAAATAAACAAAAAAATAAGAATTATAAATATAGTAATTACTTATTATTTGTAATCATAAAGCAAATGAATATGAGTTTACCTGTTTCTTATTATAAATATTTGATTGAAGAGATATAGTAGCTATCATGGTGTTGTCGGATACAAAATCTGCAAGAAAAAAAAAGGAAAAACTAACCTTTGTATAGACCTCGATCGGCTCTACTCCGGATCTTGTGGATGCTATCGGACTGTGGCTCTACCTTCGGATCTATTGAGTCAGCCATTAATATCGGCGCCAAATCCGGCCGTAACTCGGAAGTCGTACTTAAACAATGATCAAAAATCATAAAACATAGATTGCCTTTCAAAACTAACGAATACAGACGCACCAGCTAAAGTAACTGGAAAGTTTAGTACAAAATTAGTAACAAGACTGTAAGATCGGGCGAATTTTTTTTAATTTTCGGACAAAAACCCTAAAAATTGTAAGGGAGGCGGCGGATAATGAAGAAGAAATGAAACCCTCAAATAGGTGTAATTTGATTTTATCGGTTAGATGTATTGATTACGACCGTCGGATAATATAAGTGGCAAAACTGAAACTGTTCGATTCAATAGGGGTCAAATCTTTTATTTTTTTATAGGTCTGATTTAGTTGGGCCATTTTTCTTTGTGAATGGGCTAAAAAAAATTCAAAACGAAGGGCCGAGCATAAGATTGGTGGGGAAAACATTGGACTTGCTTTATGTGGTTTATTGGGCCAATTTTTTTTTATATAATTATTTGTTCATTTAATTGCCATCATATTTTATTTACTTAGGCTACTTTTATGAATTTACATATGCTACATAATGTGTTAGTCCATTTAAGAAATTTTATGTGCGTAATATTATGAAAATAAATAATGTGTGTTTTTTATATGATTTATATTTATATTCTGTTGATTTAATTTTTTAAATAAACTTTATTTTTTAACATTGATTATAAATAATCTTGCTAAATGTTGTTGTTTGGACATTTCATATATAGGTACCATGAATCCCGATTTTTTCATTGGATCAACTGTTAGTAAACGGGAAATGACAATTGGATTGGGGCAGTTCATCAAATGATTCAAATCATATGCCCTTCAGTGATATTACAAATGGTATTTCATTTATATTCCAATTATATTTTATTTTATATATACATCATGATATTGTCACCTTATTTAATGATATTGTATTGGTTACTTTTTTACTTTTTTTTTGTTATTATTTGAATAAACAGGTCAGCGCGTATTTCATGAAAAAAACTCGAATAATTCCAATATTCTTGGATCGGAAAGCATCGTGATAGACATCGTGAGTGACGATGATAATGAAAATACAACTCTTACTACACCAATCAAGTTTTCACCAAATATTAGTCTGTGGTGACGATGGCTCGGCACCAAATCAGAAAAAAAAACGTTGTGTACACAGAAGTGTTCCATAACTTATGAATTTTTATATTTACGCCCGACCCGTTTGTTACATATATAACAAGTCCATTAAATTTAATATTCACTATTAAAATATATCATCCGTGCATCGCACGGGCCGTGACTAGTTTATAGGTAAAACCCCACATCAATAAACCTAGTCCTAATAAAAACCAAATACTAATCCTAAGGTAACTAAATATCTAGCATCCTAATACTTACCAAATAATTAAAATTCCTAGCAAATAAACTACTAACTCACGACTAACCTAACAAATAAATATATACTAACCTAAATATACCACCAATTATCTGGGACTAACCTGAATAACTCACGCAACTAAATCCTACCAAACTAATAATTCACGCTAACATATAATAGACTAATTACTAATTAAACTACTTATGACTAATTAACTAACTAAATATATAATTAATCTATTTAATAGTCTTCTAGAATTTTGGACTTGAATCTTCTAGAAGCTTCTCGTCCCTTGCTCCTCAAGTCACGCCTACCATTCTTGCGTCCCAAGTAGCTCGTGCGTGTTGTCCCGACTCTCGACTCTCGGTGTTCTCGGGCCTCGAAACCTTCATCTTCATCATTCCCGTCCCCTTTAAGCACATCTTTGTCCTCAAGGATCGAGATTCGCCACTTGTGCTTGCTCTCTTCATCTATTAGCTCTACACACCTTAACTCCGCACCTTTAACCGCTCCCCTCGGTTTTGTTTTTAACATGATCAACCTATTATCCGAATAAAATTCCATTATCCCCTCCTTATAATCTGTTTTGACTCCCCAAGTCCTTCTAGCCACTGTACTCCAAGAACTATGTCGGGTCCCACCAATGGTAATGAATAGAGGTCGGCCTTGATGGTTTCGCCTTGAAGATTGATGGGCACGTCTCGATAATACTCACAGCATCGTAGTCTTTCCCCGTTGGCGACTCTCACATCGAATGGCTCCATCTTCGTTGCCGGTAACTTCAATGCATCTGATAATATGACACTAATAAAATTGTGGGACGATCCGGTATCAACTAACACCTCGATAGATCGCCCTCGGACTGAGGTGGGCAACTTAATGGTTCTCGGCCCATGCATTCCTGACATCGCATTAATCGAAATTTCCAAGTCCTTGACGTAGTGCCTTGTTTCTTCCTCCTCGGGCTCCTCCTCGTCATCTTCAATGGCGTACAATTGTTGCTTGCACCGATGACCCGGTGCAAATTTTTCGTTGCAGCGGAAACATAGCCCCGTGCTTATCCAACGTTGCCTCTCCTCTTCGGACATCTTCTCCCGGCTCATCGTCTTTGAACTCCCAGCCTTGGGCATGGTCTCCAAGTTTGTCGGTGGCTCCATGCGCGTCGGTTCCACGCGTACCTCTGCGCGCGTTTCGCTATCGCGTACGTACGATTGCCCCACCTTGCGCACCGCGACCAAGTGGTCGTCACGCATGAGTGCAGCCTCCATGGTCGCCCGTAAGCTTCTTGACTTCTCAAGCCTAACCTCAGCGGCAAGATCCGGCTTAAGGCCCGCAATGAACGCGCCTATGAGTGTTCGCTCCGGCCAACTGCGTATATGACATGCTAAGCGTTCGAACTCCCTTTGGTAGTCTCTTAGGCTACCCGTTTGCCTAATTGGTGTCAAGGTCTCATCAAAATCATAATATTCGGACGACCCAAACCTCTTGATCAGCCCCTTTTCGAACTCCCTCCACTTCAATCGTTTGCCTTTTTTCCCATAAGCGCGCGACATCCATTGCCACCAAGTATTTGCCTCTCCATCGAGATAATATGCGGCGTACTTAACACGTTCAGCTTTTGGAATCTCATTAAGGTCGAAATATTGAGTAGCTCGACTCAACCATGCGTCCGGATCTTCTCCCTTGAACGTGGAAAGAACAATCTTCGGTTTTTCGAACCTCTGTTCCCTATGTCGTCGTGAACCCCTAAACCCCCGAGACCGGCGGTCCGTCTCCTCTTCATACTCGCTGTCCTCGTCCTCCGAAGGCGTGTATTCCTCTGAGGATGACCCGGTTGTAGGCTCCCTCGATGGCCTTTGACCACGCCGTCGAAGCTCCGCAAATTCGGCGGCTAAAGATTGAATTGACTCGGATAGTGATTGCTTGAGCGTCACCAATTGGGTGTATGTAGCATGTTGATTGTCTTGTACGGTCTTCATGTCGGCTTTCAAGGATTGCACGTCTTGGATCATGGGATTCAACCCGCTCTCCAACTGCTCGATCCTTTCCTTATGCGTTCTCGTCATTACACTCACGTAAAAAAACGAAAATCAAAGTTTTTTTTTTCCTGCTGCGTCTAAAAACCCCGCACACAATATTTTTTTCTCTTTTTTTTTACTCACGCCCCTTAACAACTAACAAGCTACTAATCCTAATGCTAATCTAACTCCTTAACAATAAACTCGACAAAACACAATCAACTACTATTTTTTTTTTTCTATACCCTATTCGCAATCAGCACTCACGCAAAGAACTCACAATATTAAAGGGAAATTCTTTTTTTTTTAGTAACTAAAAATAACGAGTTAATAAAATACACGATCAACACCTTTCAATGAAAACACCAATAATGAATATCGTCTATTTACCTAACTCGACTTGCCTCGAAACCCGTGCCGACGCCTTGATTTCTAAGCGATAGATTGCTAATACGCGCGCCAAGGCCTTCGTATTCGCGATTTTGTGAAGAAATTCAGATGTTGGTCCTATTTCTAACACGATTTTGTATGTAAACTCACACGGTTTTCTTATTTCTTAAACTTGAACGATGTATTTAATTTGAACATAAGAGTGGGTATTTATAAGTAAAACCCAACATCAATAAACCTAGTCCTAATAAAAATCAAATACTAATCCAGGTAACTAAATATCTAGCATCCTATACTTACCAAATAATTAAAATTCCTAACCAATAAACTACTAACTCACGGCTAATTAACCTAACAAATAAATATATACTAACCTAAATATACCACCAATTATTTGGGACTAACCTGAATAACTCACGCAACTAAATCCTACCAAACTAATAATTCACGTAACATATAATAGACTAATTACTAATTAAACTAACTATGACTAATTTACTAATTAAATATATAATCAATCTATTTAATAGTCTTCTAGAATTTTGGACTTGAATCTTCTAGAATCTTCTCGTCCCTTGTTCCTCAAGTCACGCCTACCATTCTTGCGTCCCAAGTAGTTTGTGCGTGTTGTCCCGGCTCTCGACTCTCGGTGTTCTCGGGCCTCGAAACCTTCATCTTCACCAGCTACGCGCACCGCAAACAGGGCACACCTTGCTAGGTGTGTCAAGGCCTTTGTGAAATACAATTCCTCAAAAAAGCGCGTGGGGTAAAGTTTTTTTTTTTTTTTTTTTTTTAAATGGGACATGTATCCCATTTGTATTGAATAATGAATTTTATTTATCATATTATATAAATTAAATCAACATTCATATTTTATATTAAAAATAAAAATAAAAATACCAACATTCATAATTTTTATTCTCTACAAATAGAGACCACAATTGATAGGGTTTAGAACACAATTAATTTATCACTCTTCACAATTAATTTATCTTATTGGAAGATGAGACGCAAATCCATAATAAGATGAACATGTTACATAGTAAGATGAACATGTTATAAAATAAGATGAATATATTACAAAATGAGATGAACATGTTATAAAGTAAGATGAACATGTATTATTTCACTTCTGCAATCCGTAACATGTTCATCTTATTTGATAACATATTCATCTTATTATGTAACATGTTCATCCTATGTCAGTATAATAAATTGATTACGAAAAAAAAATTAATTATGTTAAAAAACCTATCAAATGTGGTCTCTATTTATAGAGAATGAAAAATTATGAATTTTGGTATTTTTATTTTTTTATTTTAATATAAATCATTAATGATATATTAATTTATCTAATATGTCTCATTTTCAATTAAAAAAAGGAAAGTGACATTTGTACTATAATCTCTCATTTTTCACATGGGTGAATCCGCGCGTGTATAATTGCTTTGGCACACCTTGCTAGGTGTGCCATGGCATACGGTAGTGGTACTGCTACGCTCACACCATGGTTTGTCCCGTGCGAATTGGGGTTGATCAAACTAGTTGAGCCTAGTCAAACATTGACCTTATCGAGTAAGATTTATTTTATTTTTACCGTTCGAGCTCGTCGAACTGGATTTATGATGCTCGAGATTGATTCAACAAAAGAAGACAATCGCTAGAACTCGGCTTGAGATCGATTGAAATCAAAATGCTCGATAGATTGCTCGAGCTCGGTTCTAGCTCGACCCGAATTTTACGTAAAATTACCATTAAGTACATATATAAAATATTATAATATTTATATATAAGAGGTATTTAGTAATTCGCTATATATCTCGAGCCTCTCGCAAACTGCTCGACTTTCTAATAACTATGCTCGAGATCGACTCGATAACATACTTTAGCCGATCAAGCTTTGCTCGAGTTTAGTCAAACTCAAGCTCGAGCCGAGCTTTGACTTAAGCGCTCGGTTCATTTGGTTGGAACACCGAGCAATTCAACACCGACTGTCACTGTGGAAAAGTATAAGTACTTAAAATTAATATATTAAAATTACAATAATGCTAAGGAGCAACTTATGTATATTACGATTTCATGTCTGTGTAGAGAGAGAGAAAGAGAAAGAAAAGAAAAGAAAAAAAAAAAAAANCAGCCCATCCCATTGATGAATCTACCTGAAAAATCCCCATCGTCCCTGCTGAAACGTCGATTGATCGGCTGAAATCTGCAATTCGCGCGCTGTAAAACCCGACCCGATTCAGTTTTGTTTTTTATAAACCCCATGTGGCTGAGGCGCTCCGAAACCAGAGCTCAGGTCAACAACGCCTCCGCCCCCAAATTCGCGTGCTCCTCCTTCAAGGACGTTCGGAGCCTCTTCTCCCCCGACGATTTCACCGGCGCCGCCGGCCGAGATGTATGCACCGCCCCCTCCATCTGCCACCGCAACCGCAGCGCCAAGGCTCTCCTCCGCTCCTTCTCCCTCTCCCACCCTCCGCTGCTGCCGGACGGCGGAGCCGCCGCCGAGATCCGGATCCCGAGCGCAGAGGAGTCCATCGTGATCTACTTCACCAGCCTCCGGGTCGTCCGCTGCACCTTCGAGGACTGCAAGGCCGTGCGGACTATCCTGCGGGCCTTCCGCGTGCCGCTGGACGAGCGTGACGTCTCCATGGACTCTGCCTTCATGGACGAGCTGCGGAGGATCCTGGCTGTGCCGGGGAAATCGAGGCCGGCCTTGCCGAGGGTTTTCATCGGCGGCAGGTACGTGGGCGGTGTGGAGGAGGTGCGGCGCCTCCACGAGAGCGGCGAGCTGAGGGGTTACGTGGAGGGGTTGCCGGCAGCGGACCCCAGCACTTGCAAGGCGTGCGGCGGGTACAGGTTTATCATCTGCCGGGACTGCAGCGGGAGCCACAAGTGCTACAGTGAAAAGGCGGGCTTCAAGAGTTGTAGCTCGTGCAACGAGAATGGTTTCATCAGGTGCCCTTCCTGTTCAACTGCGCCTCTGTGAGTAATGAGCCCCCTGTTTTTGTATCTCTATTAGTTTTGGTTAACTTCTTTAATTGCTAGTGTTGTTGATTAGTGTTTAGTTTTGTAGGCATCAGTTTTTGGTGTGAGATATGGGTTTCTTTTTCCCCGTGTCTTTATGGCTGATTTTGACATAATTTTTGTGTGTGTGTTGATTTTGAGATAGCTTCTTTGTGTACTAATTTGTGTGGTCCAAGAAAGAGAATAAAAAAGGAAAAAAGAGAAGAAGGAGAAGAAGAAGAACAGTAGATAAAGGAGAATCATATAATGCTTAATTGTTGCTATAATGCTGTTTGTTGGCCCCTTAATTGTGATTACTGTTTTCAACAAGTTTTAAGGATTTGGATTAATTTTTTGTGATTGTTTTTGTCCTTTTTTGGCTGTTGATATTATTGTAAGCTAACTTAACTGTATAATTTGCAGTTGTGGAACAAAAAGTTTAACTTTTTTTTGCTTTTGGTAATAATTGGAATTTGCTGGGTTGTGATTTTGGGAAGTCCTGTTTTTATAATATAAAATAAATGGATAACATGAAGATAGAATAAACCATTGGAGATGTTTTATGGGGTTGAACCTCTATTTGTTCCACGTGGATGGAAGACCATCTATTTCATTGCCACATATACTACAATTCATGTACACGGTCGGAAATGCTCTTGTCATGCTACAGTTCAATGTTCAGCCATTTTTCTTCTTCTTCTTCTCTTGTGGTTACATATATGTCATCTGCTCCGCATGATATAAACCTGTATAGGTCGATCCAAGATGATGGAGACGAGGTTGCTTTGGCATATTTGGATAAATTTGATCGTCTTCGGATTTAGTTCACTATTTCTTTTAATTTCCCTTTCCTTTTATTATGCTATTTCCTTATTTATTATTTTAGACTAGGTAAGTAAATAATGTCCTTGTAGTTGTTTGGCAAGTTGGGACTCTCTTTTCTATTTACTATCTCGTCTTAGACGTGAATGGACGATTAGAAATTTTATGAAATTATCTGGTGTTCTATTTTCACGAGAGAGTATCTCGATCTTCCCTGTTTTCGTATCACGTTCTACATCAGTTGGTATCCAGAGACCAGCAACGATCCGCGATGCCGCCTAAGAGAGCTCAAGCCGTAAACGATAACGCCATTGAGGAGCGATTCCAGCGGATGGATGATCGCTTTGACAGGATGGACGAAAAATTTACGGATCTCTCATCCGGAATGGTGGAGTTGCGGGAGGCGTTGCGGACTATGATGGACGAGATCTGTACGAATCGCGCTGCCGGCGACCAGGACACGCGTAGAGAGGCTCGCGGAGGACGTCACCACAGACTCCGTCCGGCGACGACGCGGACGAGGAGACTATTAGTGTGGACAATCCGTTCGCGAACGAGCGGCGCCGTCGACCTGCGGGAGACGATGGTTTCGTTCACGGGAGACGAGACGATTGGCAGACACACCGAGGGTTTGACGTTGGTGTCCATGGTCGCCGCGACGGTCGGGTGTTTCGTCAGGGCTGGGATGATGGTTTTGACGGTGATCGGAGTTTCGACGAGGGTTTTGGAGGCGACTGTGACGACGAAGATGAGGGCGGACAGCGGCGTGCCTGGGGGCGGGGCGACGATGTTCCGCGGCGTCGTCAGGGTTTTGTTGAGGGTGTCGGCGGTGAGCGTTGGGGTCGGGACCGACGTGACGGCAGGCGCCCGATAGAAGGGGGCGATGGGTCACGCTGGGACCAAGGATTTCGTGTGGACTTACCGGAGTTTGCGGGCGGCACGGATGGATCGGACTTCCTCGATTGGTGGGCAGCGGTCGAGGCCTTTCTCCGATTTAAGGATGTTCCGGAAGACAAACAAGTAGATTTGGTAGCTACAAGGTTTCGTGGTCGTGCACTGGTGTGGTGGATGCAATTAACCAGTCTGCGGCATCGTTAGGGCAAACCGAGCATCACTTCTTGGATGAAGTTTCGGGAATTGGTAGAACGTGAATTTGTCCCATTCAATTTCGATAGCATTGTGTATCAGCAACTCTAAAATTTACGTCAAGGCGCACATTCGGTTGACGATTACACTAATGACTTTTATCATCTATTGACCCGTGTTGAGTTGCGCGAAACGAAAAATCAGTTGGTGTCTCGCTATGTGGGTGGACTTCGTATGGGCATACGTGACACGTTAAATCATTTTCGCCCGGAGACGGTCTCGGATGCTCATCAACGGGCACTACTTGTTGAGTCTCAGCTGGCACAAAAATCAGGACCCTCGTTTGGTTCATCGTCGCGGCAGGGCACGGCGTTCGGGGCAGGTGGTCAGTCCGTGCGTGTGGTGAGCAGCGGCGTGGGCCAGGGGGCTGGATCGAGTCGGTTTCTGCCTTCAAATGGGTCGCAACCGCGACAGGGCGGCACCGCAGGTCCGCAAGTGGCGTCGGCTGGAACACGAGCGGTGTCCGGGCTAAGGTGTTTTGGTTGCGGGGAGGTGGGACATCGTCAGGCGGTTTATCCCCGGAATGCTAATACTCGTGCATTGTTTTCGGAGGACGTCCACGACGGTGTGGCTGAGGAAGGTTAGAGGGGCCGCCAGTCTTCGATGCCGAGCCAGGGAAGACGGAGGAGTGTGTCACCGGTGACGTGGGCACGGCTCTGGTGATTCGGCGAGCATGTCTAGCGCCGAAGGGTTCTGCTGACTCGGAGAGGAACCATCTTTTTGAGTCGACTTGCACGGTCGGCAACAAGGTATGTCGTTTCATTATTGATTCTGGCTCGTGTGAGAATGTTATTGCACAGGAGGAGGCAGTGGATAAGTTACAGTTATCGTGTGGATCCAGAAGGGTAAGGCGGTTACCGTTGACCGTCGAGCTCTTGTCTCTTTTTCCATTGGCACCACTTATCGTGATCTGGTTTGGTGTGATGTTGTTCCAATGGACGCATGCCATTTGTTTTTGGGGCGCCTGTGGCAGTTTGATCGTGCAGCTACACACGATGGTCGCTTCAACCGGTACTCATTTCTTTTTGGCGGGGTTCGTATTATTTTATTGCGCAGCACTACTAGCCCGACGCCTTTACCGGATTCGCCTTCCACGGTCCTTCTTCTTTCACGGTCGGCATTTTTGTCCGCCATGCTGTCTTTCTCCTTCGTGCTGTTGCTAGTCGGCGCGGATGTAGCGGGTGAACAGGAGCCTCCAGCGGCAATCCAGCCACTACTCTTGGAGTTCAGTGACGTATTTCCGGTTGATCTTCCTTCGGCTCTTCCGCCTCTACGGGACATACAACATCATATTGATTTGGTCCCGGGGGCTTCATTACCGAATAGGCCTCATTACCGCATGAGTCCAACGGAGCACGAGGAATTGCGACGGCAAGTGGAGGAGCTTCTGCAAGACTGCAACGGGGAGTTGTGCGCCGGAGTCTGAGTCCTTGTGCGGTGCCGGCTCTCCTCATTCCAAAGAAAGATAGTACCTGGCGTATGTGTTTTGACAGTCGTGCCATCAACAAGATCACCGTCCGTTACCGGTTCCCGATTCCTCGCCTCGATGACCTATTGGACCAGTTGCACGATGCTTCTGTTTTCACCAAGCTCGACCTCCGTAGCGGGTATCACCAAATTCGGATCCGGCCCGGGGACGAGTGGAAGACTGCTTTTAAGATTCGGGAGGGCTTGTTCGAATGGATGGTGATGCCGTTCGGACTGTCGAATGCCCCTAGCACGTTCATGCGTGTTATGAACCAGGCCTTACGTGACTTTATCGGTAACAGTGTCGTCGTTTATTTCGACGATATTCTTATCTACAGCCGGTCTATGGAGGAACACTTGTAGCATGTTCGTGAGGTTTTATTGGTGCTACGTGCTGAGTCCTTTTTTGCCGCACCACGTAAGTGTGTTTTTTTGGTTGATTCCGTTCTGTTTTTGGGGTTTATTATTTCTGCCGACGGTATTCGGGTGGATGACAGTAAAGTGGCGGCTATTCGGGACTGGCCAACCCCTACTTCGTTCATGGAGGCGCGCAGCTTCCATGAGCTCGCCTCTTTCTACCGTCGTTTTATATCGCATTTTAGTACTCTTACAGCCCCGATTACTGATTGCTTGCATGGCAAGGCCTTTTTGTGGACCCCGCAGGCTGAAGAGGCTTTTGCCCTTATAAAGGGTAAGTTGACGACTGCACCGGTGCTCATGTTACCGGATTTTTTGAAGACATTTGAGTTGTCCTGTGATGCTTCAAAGGTGGGGATTGGCGCTGTCCTTAGCCAGGACGGTCGGCCGGTCTCATTCTTTAGTGAAAAATTATCCGGGCCGCATTCACGTTACAGTACATATGACGTGGAGTTTTATGCTGTGGTCCGGGTTGTCCGTCATTGGAGGCACTATCTATTTCACCGGGAGTTTATTCTTTACACGGACCATGAGGGTTTGCGTCATTTGGCATCTCAGGACAATGTATCGGCCCGTCATGCCTCTTGGACTGCTTTTCTGCAGCAGTTTACTTTTGTGCTTCGTCACCGGTCGGGAGTGTCGAACAGAGTGGCGGATGCTTTGAGTCGCCGGGCCCTCTTATTGACAGATATGCGGGTGTCGGTTCTCGGTTTTGATTCCTTACGGGAGCAGTATGCGGCGTACGTCTTTTTTGGGCCTATTGTCCACCGCCTCACACACGGCCTGGTGGATGACTATGTCCTCTCGGATGGATTTCTTTTTCGTGGGACCCGTCTCTGTATTCCAGAGGGTACAAGCTAGTTGCCGACTTACACTGCGCCGGGCATGTTGGCCGGGACCGCTTGGTGGAGCTGGTCGGCCGGCGCTACTTTTGACCGTCACTGCGCCACGATGTGGCCCGTTATGTGGAACGATGTCGGGTGTGTCATGTCTCGAAGGGTGTTGCTTCGAATGCCGGGCTATATAGGCCCCTTCCTATTCCTTCACGGCCTTGGTGTGCGGTTAGTATGGATTTCGTGTTGGGGTTACCTAGGACTCAACGCGGATTTGATTCTATCTTTATGGTCGTCGACCGGTTCTTGAAGATGGTGCACTTTGTGCCGTGTAAGCGCACAACGGATGCGGTACATGTCGCTCAGCTATTCTTCCGGGAGATTTACCGTTTGCATGGACTTCTGTCCTCCATTGTTTCGGATCGCGATACCCGGTTTTTGAGTCATTTTTGGCGTAGCCTGTGGCGCATGGCGTCAGCAGCGCGTATCATCCTCAGACTGATGGGCAGACGGAGGTAGTGAACCGTTCGTTAGGCAATTTACTTCGTTGCTTGGTGGGTGACAACCTTCGTAGTTGGGACCAGCGGCTGAGCCAGGCTGAGTTTGCACATAACTCGGCGGTGAGTCAGGCTATTGGCTTGTCACCTTTTGAGGCGATTTACGCGGTGCGGCCACGGGGGCCGTCGGACCTACTCGCGATCCCTTCCGCGACGGACGATCGCCGAGCTGCTGAGTTCGTCACGGACTTGCGGGCCACGCATGACGCCGTTCGGGCCTGCTTGGAGGCTACTACCGCGGCGTACAAGCGTCGGGCAGACATCCGGCGGCGCCACGTCGAGTTCGAAGTTGGCGATTTTGTTTGGGCAGTTCTCACCAAAGACTGCTTCACGGCTCATGAGTTCAACAAGTTGTCGGCTCGGAAGATTGGCCCAGTGGAGATTGTGGAGAAGATTAATCCCAATGCATATCGCCTTCGCCTGCTCTCCCATCTTCGCACTTCGGACGTTTTTAACGTCAAACACTTGGTGCCGTTCGCGGGTGACCATTCCGACGAAGATGAGGTTGGTTCGGATTCGCGGCCAAATCCTTCTCAACTGGGGGAGGATGATGGAGACGAGGTTGCTTTGGCATATTTGGATAAATTTGATCGTCTTCGGATTTAGTTCACTATTTCTTTTATTTTCCCTTTCCTTTTATTATGCTATTTCCTTATTTATTATTTTAGACTAGGTAAGTAAATAATGTCCTTGCAGTTGTTTGGCAAGTTGGGACTCTCTTTTCTATTTATTATCTCGTCTTAAACGTGAATGAACGATTAGAAATTTTATGAAATTATCTGGTGTTCTATTTTCACAAGAGAGTATCTCGATCTTCCCTGTTTTCGTACCACGTTCTACATCACAAGAGCAGTTTTTTCTGATATTTACAAGATACTGCTATCAGTACTTAGTTGAGTGACTTCACAATATACGTTGAAAATGGTATTTGGAGTTTTAGGAAGATATAGTCGAAACTGTCTGAGACGTAAGTTAGCGAGGGGTTGCAAAACAACCGAGATGCTTGTGTGCTTTGTGAACTCATCAAGGAACTTGTTTGCTTTGTGAGCGGACTTTAACTCAGTTTTAAGGCTGACTTGAGAACTGACCCAAATTTGGTACTTCAATCTCAGTTTTTGTTCGGCGACTCACAAAACCCTCGATCTTTTATTTACCTGAAATATTTTATTGCTACAAGTTGTCAAGTTTCAGTTGTAAATAATAGTGTGTGCACCATAATGGGATGGAGATAATGGTTTTTTCTATGTATATAAGGTTTGCATTTGCCTTTTTCCAGTATGTTATTCCTTAAAATCAACGTCCTTCCTTTAAAGTTTAAATTGTTCTTCATTTCATATGATTTATCATGATTTAGGTGCATCATCATGGATTCTTGATGGTTAACTTTTTCAAAGGTAAACCGAAAAGTAAGTAAAAACATCATCGATAAGACACAAGTACACATGGTTGCATGTGCACCTTCTTCATATTAATAACGTTAATCCCATAATTACTTTACAAGTTACAAGTTACAACCACGGAGGCCAGTTGTGAACCATGCTTGAACAATATGACTTCGTGATTTCTCTAATATAAATGTATTAACAAAATATTTTTAAAACTTATTATATGTATTCTTCGCGTTTGACACATTAAATTAAATTTTAATCAATTTTTATATCAAAAAATTTATATATTAATCACAGTTTGTACCAACTGTTGGTTGAAAGATAATAATCCAAAATTCAACTCACTATCTTTAAAAAAGAGTACATATTAGAAAGTATAATTTTCAAACTTTTCAACATTAAATCTTGGTTATTGATTAGGGGTTTAGACTAATAAAATTTGACAAAGTTAAAAAAAAAGTACTAAAAATATTATTTTTGAAGTTTTTAACTTTACATCTTGATTATTTAGGGGCTTGGACTATCATAATTTGACAAAGTAACAGGGATGGTTCATATGTAAAAGTTTTTTTTTTTATTTTAATAATTTTTATTTATGATCAAGAAATATTGTTGGAGTTTTAGAAAGATATATTTTTCCAAAACACATTTTTTTGTGTGAAACGACTTAATTGTTAGGCAGGTTGGCCGGCCGTACCATATAAACAAATAATGCATGCTTGCAGGGGCGGATGCAGACTCGAAAGATTGAGGGGGCACAAATGTAACCTTTACAAAGTTAAAAAAAAATGATATTTATTATGTGCATGTTCTTATATTATATCACTCATAATTACATAAATTCAAATCTCATTAAATATATTTTTTTCAACTACCAATATTTTTTTTTTCTTTTGCATTGGATATTCTTACAACGTCAGCATTCGTGGACTTCACTATAATAAAGATAAATATTTTATTAGTTAAAAAAATCAATGACAAACACAATTTAGTAGCTAATTTTAAACATATAATAATAATTTAAGAACACCTAAAATTCAATATATATCAAAATACATGTTGAATTTTGTGGAAAATCGATTTAACTCACTTATATATGTTGCCTACAACATAATACAAATACATAATGCAAACAACTTAAATTTTAAGAAGATTTATTTGTAATTATTTTACAATATAATTATACATGTATTAATTCTTTTTAAAAATTGTACAGGGGCCCATGCCCCTACGGGCCCCCGCCTAGGTCCGCCCCTGCATGCTTGTACTAACAAATGTCATACCTAATCAGTAATCATATTTTTAGGAGAAGACTACAGTCCCGTCACGAAATGATTCCGTGAGGGTTTTTAACTATGAATTATCTACAATAACTAACTAACATGTATATCTAAATGCTAATTACCTCACTGAATCATTCCTGTAGTATTTTTCATATTTTTGTTTATGATGTTTTTAATGTATGACATTTTCTAACAAAAAATGTACGGGATATATATAGTACGTGAATAAAGAAAAATGTACGGGATATATACATGAATAAAGAAAAATGTACGGGATATATATAGTACGTGACCCGTGCGAAGCACGGGATGTATTTATTTGGAGAATATTATATTATAAGATGCAATATTCAATAAAAGTTTATAATACGCAAGAAAATTGTATAATATTCAATAAAAGTTTTATAATATTCAAGTGAGTCTTAAAGTCTCTTGTATATTAAGACTACTGACAAAATAATATTTTAATCAATGAGTTTCCTTTCCTTGTAGCCAAATTGTGAATGTGATTTGAGGAGTACAACAAATCGATATATAGTTGACTTGCTTTTTTCATTGTATTTTTTTTTTTTTTTATAATGAATTTAAAGATATTCTAAAATATAGCAAAAATTAATTTTTTTATGACAATTAGGAATTTTAATAAATATAGACTCTCAATATATGGTGTTAATCAACGTTTAAGTCTAAAAAATTAGGAATTTTTACCTCTTTTAATCAACGTTTAAGTCTAAAAAACAATAGAGTTATTATAAGTTTTTTTCTACATCTTTTAAAACATTAAATATGAGCATGTTAGGGCTAGCTTGTAAAATAATTAATATATTATCTCACTAAAACATTTATACTAATAAAAATTTAATTTTAGCATATAAATTTATCCCTTGATATAAGAGAAAGTAACAGTTTTACTTATTGTTGTTCACCATATAATATTTAATTATTATTTTATTAAATAATAAAAAAAGAATATTGTTAAATAGTGTAGTAGAATTGTTATAAAATTATATGATTTTTTTATTTTTACAACATGGATTTAATATTTTTTTATGATTTGATAATATAAACAAATCTATACTTAACTTTGCCAAATAAAACAAATAAATACTTTAGTAAGTATTTAATGTATATACTAAATAGGAATATATTTGGTATAATCAAATACTAAATATAATCAAATAAGTCGAAGTGTACATTTTTATTTGGTATTTGATTTTTTTTATTACTAAAATCTTTTTATTATACTTACCTTTTTAAAATAAAATAAATAAATAAATCAATTAAATAAATAAAATATTATAATACCAAAATAGTAATGACATTTAATGCAGTTGACTTTTCTAGATAGTAAATGTAGTAAATAGAATCTCCTTTTATATAAGTATAGATATGATATTATATTATGTTGCTCAAAATAGTAATGCATTTATTGCATTGACTTTTCAACTTACTAAATTTCGTAAATGGTACACCTTTTTATATAAGTATAGATTGTATATTTTTTGTAAAAAAATAAGTAGGCCTAATAGTTAGGTCGATTATTAGCCGGCCTAAGAGAAGATCGTTTCCAAAACTTAGTGAAATATGAATAATTAAAATCTTCAATCAGATATTACTCAACCAATTAAGATTCATTAAAATCTTCAATCAAATATTACTCAACCAATTAAAAAATATAAACATCTATATCTATATATATATATATAAAGAGGTTGTTGGAAAAATACATTAATAGAACGTTTGACCTAATAAATAAAACAATTGACTTACTATAAATGGAAAGTTCGAAAAAATACATGTGAATCTTTAGTAACAAAATCTGAATCCTATTTTTTTGGTAACTAATTTGGAGATTCTTATGGCAAAATTTGAATCCCATTTTTTTCGCATCATATTTTATTTTTTGTACCAAAATTTAAATCATATATTTTGGTAACAAATTTGGAGATTCTTATGCAAAAAATGTGTCAATTATTTATGAAAAAAATTCTAAATACAAATTAACTTAAAGACCGTACAAATTGGATACGAATTCAGGAAACAAATAGTTGTATAATTCTTAACCAATTCTTCCAATTTTATTGAATAATTTTTTCTTTAAAAAAAAGTGTGTAAATTGGATAAAACCACGTGCAATTTTTATTTTAGAATAAAACTGATATTTGGACAGGATGTACATTCAAAATTGTGTCCACATTTTTGGTAACAAAAGCGATTCATCTTTGATACTTAAAGTCACCTTATCCAATTATTTAGGAAAAATTGTCTGCAACTTTTCAAAATTTAAATGCATCAATTTTTTTGGATTCTTATGTTTTTCTTAACCATGTTTTACCGAGATTTTGGTAAGTTCATATCATTTTTTTTTTTTGTTAAGTTCATATCATTTTCTTTAGGAAAGAGACAGTTGCATAAACATTAACAAATTGTTTCAATTTTTTATTAAAATTATTTTCAATTCAATTTATTTGGTAAAAAAATCGGTGCAGTGTTAGGAAAATTCGGTTGCATTTTTAGGAAAAATTGATGATTTTTTATTTTGTTTAAAAAAATATTCGGATCAATTTGTTTGATAATAATCAGTTTATTGGTAGAAAAATCGGCTTCATTTTCAGTAGTAAATAATAATTCTTTTTAATATATATAAAAAGGTTGTTGGAAAAATACTTAAATAGAATGTTTGGCTTATTAATTAATTTGTTTGACTTACTAATTTAGGAAAATTTGTTAAAAAGCACGTGCAATTTGAGTAAAAAGAATGAGATTTTAAAAGAAATATTAGAATCAATTTCTTAACAAAAAAACCGGGAGGATGATGTTGAATTGTGGATGAGGATAATGTCAATTGATTCTTTCCGAATTGAAAGGTCACATGTGGAATATATACACCAAGGATATCTAATTTATTAGTTACTTAGGGAGCATGATTGTAGGAGATCAAAATATATCAATGTAAATGTAACATCAAGCCATATAAAACAAGTTACGTTATAAGTAATTTAAACATTCTTGGTAAATTTTAAATTATTATATATAATAAATCCTTTGTTTTTTTTATATATTAATAGATACTACCTCCTTTTTTTTTTTAATGTCATTTTGACTTTATTTCTTTTCGGAGGGTAGGCATCAACCAACTCACGGATTGAGCTTGCAATAACATTAAGCACTTTTTCCCCATGAACAATTAACCAAATAAATGACGTTTTGGATCTTTTGTACATTTTTTTTCATTATTACCTCAATCTAGCTAATAAATACACTACATTTTTTCATATTCATTCTTCATCTTTTCTCAAAACATCCATCTCTATCCTCATTAATGAGGGTTATTATTTACAAAAAAAAAAAATCTTAATTACTGTGCAACTTTTCAAAACGATACTTATTAAAAGAAGGAGGGAGTACTATATATATATATATATTGAAAGAGGTTGATTAAAAAATTATTTATAGAAACTTGATAAAACTTTTGAGTCAAAACTTTTGACTTAGTTCTTTTGGAAATTCAATCTAATATTATAAAATAACAATAGGGATTTACTTTAAGTTGAAAAAAAGTTCTCGCCTAAAATTTTAGATTTTACTACAATTGATAACTTTCTTTTAAAATTTTTGAAAAATTGGGAGTTGAATTGTAATTTGAATTATAGCGCCGACGTTGGATGTGGCCGAGTCTATCAATGAGTACATGACATCATTGAATTTTTTGGATGGTCGTATGTACTTGAGTTCTGACAGTACATGCAAATCGGATTCTAATAATGATTTTTTGTCTGATCTCCATACGCCTGAGTTTTTGAATAGTATCAAGTGTTCCGGAATACCGAACCATGAGTTGTATTTGAAAATTGGAACTCCGGTCATGTTGTTGCGGAACATGGATCATTCTATGGGTTTGTGTAATGAGACACGATTGGTTGTGACAAAGCTATCCAGTCATGTTCTTGAGTGTAAGATACTCACAGGAGATCATGCTGGTGATAAGATGTTGATTCCAAGAATGGCCAAAACTCCTTCTGATGTTAGAATTCCTTTTAAGTTCCAACAGCGGCAGTTTCTCATTATGGTTTCTTGCGCCATGACTATAAACAAGAGCGAGGGACAATCCTTATCTCATGTTTGCTTATTTCTTAAGAAACCAGTATTCAGTCATGGCTAGTTATATATTGTTGTCTCACATGTCACTAACTGAAAATGTTTAAAAATCTTAATTTGTGGTGAAGATGACATGCCAAAGAATCAAACCAACAATGTTGTATATAGGGAAGTGTTCAATAATATATGATCTTTTCAGTTTAATTACATGTTTATATGTCTATTCTTATGATCATGATCATTGCATTATTACATAATTTATATATAAAGGTGCATTCTAAAAAGCGTATAGATAATAATTTCCCTGTGCGGGTAATTGATTCTTTTACGGGGAAAAAAAAAAGACAAGTGGTGGACGAAAAAAGAAAAAGAAAAAAGGGGGTGGACAAGAATCACAAGCCCGTATTTGCTGAATACGGCTTTTGATTTTTTTATTTGTAAAACGTATTCCGTGAATACGGTTTCCTTTGTAAAAAAAATGTAAAAAACGTATTCCTTAAATACGTTTTTTAATTAAATTACAAGGAAAACGTATTTACAAAATACGTGCTTTCTATGTTGGTCCACTCCCCCTTTTTTTTTGTTTTTTGTCCACTTATTATTTTTTTATTTTTAAATATATAAACTGCCCTAATTGATTNTATCGGATTCTTGGTAAATTTTCCAAGTTCAACCATTGAGTCGTGCAGCAAATTACTCGACACGCTTCAGCAGTCGGCCCCCGTTTGTGTTTCACTCTTCAAGTCACTTTCTCTTCACTCCATCACACGCAAATTTTTGCCCCAAAACATCGCATCACAAATTTATATAATCCATCTCATTTTATCCACTTCACAGTGTAAATCAATGGCACTCGCCTAATGATTTTCCGTTTGTCCTGTAATTTTCAGCACACACAACGCAAAGAGGAATCAGCAATTCTACAAAAAATCAGAATCCAATAATAAAGAAAAAAAGTTGCTAGCTTTCTTTTGGGGAAATTTATTGGTGAGTTGATACCGAGCAAGAAAATGGCGTCTGTTGGTGGTATCGCCGCCGGTAGCAACTTGGCGTTGACTTGCTCTTCATCGTCGAAGAACTGCAGCCCCTTGTCGACCCATCGGTCAAATTTCCAATCTTTTGCAAGAATTTCTACTCAATTTTCTTTTCTCGGGATAAAAAGAAGCAAAATTGATGGTTTCAGAGGGCTAAAATCGGTTCAGACGGACGTGTTCATAACGAGCGACGACGAGGCTGAAATGGGTGAAGGGTTTTTCGCGGCCATAGAGGAGCTTGAGCGGATGGCCCGGGAGCCGTCTGATGTGCTCGAGGAGATGAACGAGAAGTTGTCTGCCCGCGAGCTGCAGTTGGTGCTGGTGTACTTTGCGCAGGAAGGAAGGGACTCTTGGTGCGCTCTGGAGGTTTTTGAGTGGCTGAAGAAGGAGAATAGGGTGGATAAGGAGACAATGGAGCTGATGGTCTCGATTATGTGCGCTTGGGCGAAAAAGCTGATTGAGGGGAAAAATAAGGTAGAGGAAGTGGTTAACCTCTTGGTGGATATGGACTGTGTTGGTTTAAAGGCAGGATTCAGTATGGTAGAGAAAGTGATCTCTTTGTATTGGGAGGCTGAGGAAAAAAACCAGGCAATTTTGTTTGTCGAGGAGGTTTTGAGGCGAGGGATAATTGTTCAGGATGGAGATAGGGATGGTAATAAAGGCGGCCCAGTTGGATATCTGGCATGGAAGATGATGGTATGTGCTTGCTTAGTTCTTTTATTTCTGTTTTTAGCTGTTTCGGAATGTTTTATGTGGGGCTTGCTGATAGAGAACTCGATAATATAGATGGAATTGCTGTTTAAATAATATTTGTCGTGTGTTGCTACTTTGTTTCCTCGAGAGCTGATGAATATATTGTTAGTCTTGTATCTGTGTGAAGAGTTTATAGTTTAGTTATACGATAATGGAACAAAAGTCCTAGATTTCTTTGCGACTACATTAAGTTATGAGTACTCTATTGATTTTCTTAGATATTTAACGGTACAATGTAATTTCAGCAGTTTATAACCACATTGTTCCCCGACTAGGACTTAAGGATTGAAGTATAGTTGTAGTCATTAAATTGATGTGCCATTATAATATATTCCGGCTTGTTTGTCACATGCATGTGAAATCGTTTGCAAGTCATTCATTCATTCATATTTTTTTTTTTTGCATTCTTTCTCTCTCTCTCTCTCTCTCTCTCTCTCTCTTTATTTATTTATTTATTTATTTATTTTTAAGGTGGTGAGGGTTGTGGTGCACGTATGTTGTAATTTGTTGCTCTCACAAGAAGTTGATATTCGTGTGTATAGGATCTTGTAATTTGTGACTGGATAATCCCGTGTTATCAACCTGTTTTGGTCAGAGTCATATGGACAAGGATTATGTTGGATATGATATCACCAAATCTGGAAATTCAAATGTTGAACTTATGTGTACATAATATTTTCTCATGTATATTCCTAGCAGCCTAGATGCACTACTATAACAAAGTAGACAAATTAAAATTCGGAATAAACACTCAACTCGATAAATTGTGTTAATATTTGACAAAACACAAGTGTTGTTTGTAGGAAATTGTCTGAGTCCAAACAACACTAGTATTAGCACATTAGAATCTTCTATTGGTTTGAGTTTCTTTTTGACTGAATCTTTTATAGTTTTTCTTGTTGATTATATTAGTAATTTACCATGCAAAAACACTCGTCGTTAAGGATTGACAAATTTGTATAAACTTAAATCTTCATAGACACTAGAATCCACTTTTTGCCTACCCATGTAAAAGCCCTCTTGAGGACTCAAGCTATCAACTGAAGAGAAAAGCCCATAATCACTAGAGGTTCATGTAATCACTATATCCATAAAAACAACAAGCATCAACAAAATTCTGCAAAATTGATCCCAAATTTACCGGGCCAACTACTAAACAATGAATTCTCGATTTTTCAGGAGGATGGAAACTTTAGTGATGCGGCGAAACTAGTGATCAATCTCAGAGAATCGGGCCTTAAACCCGAGCCCTACAGCTATCTAATAGCTATGACTGCCATAGTCAAGGAGCTCAACGAGTTCGCAAAAGCCCTACGCCGACTAAAAGCCTTCTCCGCCAGGCCCGGCCCGATTATCGAGCTCGACCCAGACTCCCTCCCTCTCATCGAGACCTACCAAGAGACCCTCCTCACAAACGGGCTCCTCCTCTCCAACTGGGCCATCAATGACGGTGGCCCACCACTCCTTGGGCCGGCCCACGAGCGCCTCCTTGCAATGTACGTCTGCGCGGGCCGCGGGCCCGAAGCCGAACAGCAGCTCTGGGAGATGAAGCTCGCCGAGCGAGAGGTCGGGAGGGACCTTCACGACATCGTGCTGGCGATCTGTGCCTCACAGGACGAATCGGGCCCGGTGGGTCGGCTGCTGGCCCGGTTAGAGTTGGCGGGCCCGTATGGGAGGAGGAAGACGCTGACGTGGCTGCTGAGGGGATACATTAAAGGGGGGCATTTTGGGAAAGCGGCCGAGACAGTGATTGGGATGCTCGACTCTGGGCTGTGCCCGGAGTATGTGGACCGTGTGGCGGTGGTGAGGGGGCTGAGCGGGAGGGTCGGGGGGGAGAGGGGGGATGCTGATGCTTATGTGGCGCTCTGTAAGCGGCTCTCGGATGCGGGTTTAGTGAGCCCGATTATGGTTTACCTTAATGTGAGGAGGTTGGGGCTATGGGTGGTCCAGATGCTTTGAGGTGTGCAGGTATTGGGTGATGTGTTTGTGTTTGTGTGTGTGTGTTTGTTGTATAGATGGATGGTGGAGAAGAAAGGAAAGGAACAGTTAGTTTTGTGTATAAGGAAGAATGGTTTGCATATATGTTGGTTAGTTTTCATGTTGGTGTGAATGATATGTGGGCATTCTTGTTGTGTGCTGTTGTTAATGTTGGTTTTAATGAAGCCAAATCTTGCGCTGGGCTGTTTACTGTGGCACAAATTCTTGTCTGGAGACTTTTGTGTATGTGTTTCACAAGAATCCAACGGCTGGATCTCCAATGATACTGCAACAAAATTAATGTGTAGATTCTTCAATTTTTTCGAAACTTTAACAACGATTTAACAAAGTTTGAGGTATTATAGATGAAACTAAATATGCCGTTGAAAATATCGAGTCGAGACTTAGAAATGATATATGATTTGTTGAAATCCATCACTGGTAGGCGGGCGGCGAACGGCGACTGACGGTGGTGGCCGGCGGTAGCGAGTGGTGGTGAAATGGTCATATCTTCAGTTATGACACGCTTTAAATTGAATAGCTTTTAT